TTGTGTGTGGGTGTATAAGAGCTTTATATAAAGAGTAATTGTACATTAAGGAAACATCCCAGCCCAGTCCAGAGCAAGTCCATAAGTCCACTATTAGCCCCTATGTCCAGTACCAGTCGGTAAATGCCTCTTCAATCTTTTTTTTCCTAACTCTAAGATTGTATACATTTCATTATAATATTTTACTTTGTCTTCCTGAGTTGCCCTTTGAGATTTTTTGACAAGTTCTTTTATGTCATAATTTCTTCCGTGTGCCCCAGCTATTCTGTGAGTAAGAGCAAGTTGCGGTCTCTTCTGACATCCACTTTGATCTTTTCTGTCATTCTTGTCTTTTTAGTGGCCTTTTGCTCTCTGCATGAAGGATGGTCTTGATGTCCCCCACAGCTCATCAGGTCTGCTGTCGTTAGTGCTCAACGCAGCAAATCTGGTCCTGAGATGATCTTGAAATTCATTTGGGATGGGCTCAAGGTCGTATTTTGAGTCGAGTGAGTCTATTTTGAGTCTTGTTTTCATTTTTTTCAGCTTAACCCTGAACTTAACATAGGAGCAATTGATGGTCTGTTCCACAGTCAGCCCCTGGCCTGGTTTTCGCTGCTGGTTTTGAGCTTCTCCATTGCCTCTTCCCACAGATGCAGTCAATTTTATTTCTGTGTGTTCCATCTGGAGAAGTCCACGTGTATAGTCACTGTTTGTGTTGTTGAAAAAAACCTATTTGCTATGAACAAGTCATTGGTCTTGCAAAATTCTATCATGTGATCCCCAGTTTCATTTCTATCACCAAGACCATATTTTCCAACTACTGTTCCTTCCTTTTTGTTTCCAACTTTTGCATGCCAATTGCCAATAATTAGCAATGCATCTTGATGGCATGTTTGAACAATTTCAGATTGGAGATGTTGATGGAATTCTTCAATGTCTTCATCATTAGTTTTAGTGGTTGGTGCATAAATTTGACTTATAGTTGTATAGATTGGATTTCCTTGGATGCAGACAGCTATAAACCTATCACAGGCAACATTGTACTTTACGATAGACCCTGAAATACCGCTTTGATGATGAACACAATGCCACTGCTCCTGGTTGCGTCATCCTGGCACAGTAAACCATCTGATGTTCTGATTCACAATGGCCATTACCCGTCCATTTCAGCTCACCGAAGCCTAGGATATTTATCTTTCTGCATTCCATCTAATTGTTTCTGACTTCCACTTTTGCTAGAGTCATACTTCGGACATTCCAAGTTCTGAACATTAATTAATGTTTGTGGCTGGTTCTCCTCATTGTGAGTTGTGTACTATCCTTCTTTGTAATCTGGAAGCTCTGCTGAAGCCAGCTCCTTTTGGGTGACCCTGCTGGCATTTGTAATACAATGACATAGCTTCCAGTATCACAGCCACACACAAGCCACCACCACAGTACGGCCGACTGATGGACAAGTGGTAGGAAGGAAAGTAATGTGGGACCAATAGATGCTTTCCCCCCACCTTCAATTTTTATAGCTTAGGTGGGGGTTTACATTTCTTATCATTGACCTGGTATTCATCAGTTTAAATTACTAATCAATCCTTCCCCTCCTCCATTCTTCACCTGATCCTTGCCTCCTCTTCTCCCTCTTGTGGACTCTTGTTTTTCATTACACCCAAGTTAACACTTGTCAACAGTCTAACCAGTTGCTTTTTCGTCCTTCCCTGACCCTCCCCCCTTGATAGTGTCCAAAGTCTATTCCCCTTAGTATGAAAGTTGTTATCTTAGAAAAAAAAATCTTCCCCTTATAACATGATTTCATAGAATATTTATCCCTATTAGTTCCACTCAACATGGTGTTCTCCAGGCTCATCCATGTCTTGAGATTATACAGGATTTTCTCATTCCCCCTCCCCGCATCCTTCTACTGATGGGTGTTTGGGCTGTTTCCATCTTCCTGTCATTCTGACCAGCACTGCACTGAACAAGGGTGTGCACACGTCTTTTCCTGTTATGGCTTGCTTCTTTAGGATGTAGACTCAGTAGAGGGATTGCTGGATCGTATACAATTCTTAACCTTCCACAATGATTTGCTTGATTGAGGTGACACCATGTAACTCTGCACAATGATTTTACATATTTACAGTCCCATTCGCCATGTTCGTGGGTTCCAGATCCCTCTGCAGAGCTTGGCTGTCAGTGTCTGTGTTAGGTGGCATCTCTGCTCTTTTGACGTGCCTCCCCTGAATGGCTAGTGATTGTGAGCATTTCTCCATATGTTTGTTGGCCACCTGGACGCCGTCGTTGATGAACTGTCTATTCATAAGACCAATAAATCCAGTAACTTACCTGACAGACTGCCAGGGCTTCTTCATCTGTAAAAGAGGAAGCTAATACCTACAATACGGTGTTATGAAGATTAAGCATTGAAATACTTTAGTATATTGTCAGTTTCTTGGCAAATAGGTTTTAAAGTAGCAAGTATAGAAATGAATGAATGCTGTCTGGGCCTGCCATATGAAAGGATCCTGGGCCGATGCTTTAAAAGTTATTTGTTTAATGGTCACAGCAACACCTCTATTACATAGAGAAAAGTGAGTCATGAAGGTGTTAAACTGGTCCATGTATACATTTCCTTCTTCCAGTCTAGTCTCCTTCAGGATTCATATAAACATTCCCTATGTGTGCCAGACATTATCCTAGCAGCCAAGAATACTCAAACATAGCTAGGCTAGGTTCACACACCAAACAATGATCGTTTTTATTGAGCATCTACTATGTGCCAGATACTATTCTAAGCACTTTATTTGTGTTGTGCAAACTCAAAGGAGTTAACTTGTAAACTCCTGTAACTCTCATAACTGGGGCAATAATTTTACAAATGAGGAAACTCAGGAATTTGGAGGCTGATTAGCCCTTGACTCCTGCGTTAGGGAGACAAAACAGAATGTTAGGTACTGAGCAAATCACAAAGTGTCTAAAGAGGAAGTTACTACTGGGCTCTAGTTGATTGCTGGTATGAAGGAATGGGACCCTACTGGTCCAAAAGAAAACCGAAAACCTGGACTTTTTTACATGAGGAATTTGCACTTTCTAATGATTGAAAACTATCTTTAGTGCAGTACTATAACACAACAACAGAGTGCACAAGCCAAGCAAGCACTTCTGAAGGCTGGATCCAGAGATGCAACCCCCAGCTGGTTGGCAGAGATGTTCTGTCTCAGGAGTCTTTGGAAAGAAGCCAGCATAGTGCAGGCTTGGGGATTTCACAGGGAGGAGAAAGCTGGGAGGAGAGAGAACAGGGGATCATGACAAAACAAAAGCCGTCAGACACGGCAGGGATTGTTGTTTGCCATTTGGCACCTCCTCAGATGCCCTCCAGGTGGCTGTTTGTCACAGGGACCTAGAAAACAGGTGGTGACCGTGGGCCAGAATGCCACAGTGCACCAGCTCCTTTAAGAATGCAGTTCTTGCTCTCCTAGATCGGAGGCCCTGTCATGCAAGTACTGTGGACAGTGTGACTTTGTTCCCTCCTTCTCTTTGAGGCAGACACATGGAGGCAGACAGGGCTTGCTCCTTCCACTTGGGCAAGAACTGGAACAAGGGCAAAGGCAGCCCACAGCTCCAGAGGCCAAACTCAGGGTCAGTTTTCTGCCCACAAGTTAACATTAACCTTTAGGTAAACGGTGCCACTCCTCCTCCAGGGCTCCGTGAGTAAACAGTAATCCTGGAGGGCGAGGGGAGGGGAGGGGAGGGAGCCATGTACTTGCAGGGAAAGGAGCAGTCCAAGGTCAAGATTCCAAGCACTGTGGTCTTCTGGAGCTTTGCCCAGAATGTGCCTGTCCCCAGGGAAGAAGTGACTCATCAGATGCAGGTTTCCTCTAGTACTCGTTCTGCTCCCACAAGAGTCTCCATAAGGGACCTGGGTGTAAGGGGCAGTTCTGTTCATCAAGGAAAGACCCAAATGGGGGGTTGTGGCGGACCTCATAACTCCTGGGGCAGTTGTGAGCATTCAATGCAATTATGAATATGCTTTGGAAAGAAAAGCCTGCATGCACCATACTCTATATGGGCTTATTCAATTATTTGTGGGTAGCTTCCAGCTAGACAACCCCTTCCCCGCCTCCCCCTTACCAAATTTTATTTGGGAAAGGGACAGAGAGAGATGGAAGAGTAGAAAAGGAAGATAATTCCCCAAAGATGGTGTCGCTCTGGTGAGCCGCATATAAATATGACTGGTGGTGGTGCAGGTGGTTAGTTAATATGCCTCTGGGAAGCATCATAGTAAGAGACCGTGTGTGTGCAAAACAAACAGTCAAGCACTCGCCTGCTCACTGAAAAGGCTGGAGGTTTAAGTGCACTCACAGGCACGCTGGAGAAAGGCCTGGAGAGCTACTCCCCCAAAAGTCAACCCTTGACAACCCCCTGGGGCACAGCTCCACACTGACCCGCATGGAATCGCCATGCGTTAGAGTGGACTCCATCGCAACAGGGACGCTGGTTGGCTGGCTGCTTGGCTGGTTGGAGATATTTGTGTGCACACACACACACACACACACCTATTTATACTTACCCACACCCAAAGCTATATAGTTTTTGTATTCATCAATACCCAATAATCCTACTTCAAGATCTTCATCCTAGGAAAATAATTCTAAAGAAGCAAAAGGACTTCTTACGTGAAAGAGGTTCTTTTTAGGGCTAGATAGAAATGGTCGGTTATGTTCTGGTGCATATCTTCAGTGGAATCTTCTGAATCACAGTGACCCGATGCAGGGTTTCTAAGGCTATAATTTTCCATAGGAGCAGACAGCCTTCTCTGTCTCCTCGGGGTTGACTGGTGGTTCGAACTGCTGTTCTTACAATTAGTAGCTCATTAAGCCACCAGCCAGGACGATCGACTATGACACCGTCATTCAATGGCAGACGCGTTATAAATAAATAAATAAACGTGGGGACTTTGCAAGACCCCAAGGGTGTTGATGCCACAATGCTGAGACAGCACAAGACAGATGTTACAAAACTGTTTGTACGGGATGACTGTGATTGCAGAAGCGTAAGCATGCTTAGGAGTTAGAGGATAAAGGAGAATACACAAGGCAGTCAACGTTGCTGTGTTACAGTAGGAAAGCTGCAGGTGAGTGTTCACCCTACTCTGCTCTCGACTTCCTTTCATGTTGTGTTATTTGAATAATAAAGCGAGGTGTCTTTCACAAAGCCAAGAGCAGGTAGAAAGTTGCCATAGGCATTCCAGGAGAGGGACTGGAATGGTGGGAGGGCGGTGGGCGGCGATTGGAGGGCAAGGAGAGAGGAGCACCAGAAAGCTGGCTTGGTGACCAGAGCCAGCTCGGATGTGAAGAGCGAGTCCATGAACTGGTCCAGGCTGTTCCGGCTACCCAAAGGTAGATCACGAGCATCCCTGGGGATTAGTGGGGCGGGGGCATCAGACCCTTAAAAATATGTGTTTGAAATGTCCCACCCCAAAGGAGAGGGGGCAAATGAGCACTTTGCTAGATTCTATTTTCTGGTTGAGGACTGGTTTTACTTTTAGTTAAATGATGGGGAAGACGTCATAGCTTTTTCATGGTCGGGGGTTCTATAGGTCCACACCCCAGTCCTGGCCTTGAATCTCGTTGTTACATTAGCTACAAAATCAGCTTTGCACAACAGGAGCGGCAGGTGCCTTGGCTCCCATCCCCCACCCCACCCCAGCAGATAGCTGCTGTGGGAGGTAGATTCAGTGTTGAAACAGTTAACAGACCTCCTCAAAGCACCTCACCTTCCCCTCTGGGGCTAAGGCCTTGCCTAGGAAGAGTCAGGGCTGGGTGCTGAGAGCCTGTCTCAAGACAGCCACTTGCTTTAATAATAAGCTTGTTTACAAGGCAGTGCCGCCGCGCACAGCGTCTCAAACCGCTCCTCAGAAGCCCAAGAGGGCAAAACCAAGGCCAAGGTTGGCTGAGTGAGTCCCTAAGGTCTTACTCAGTGGCAAAAGATGGAATCAGCTCCCTCCCCAACTTGCAACAACCACAATGGTAGCGTGGCCTTTTATAGACCACAACCTGTTTGTGGTCTAGCTTTGTGGAACCAGCGTTCCCCACCCACATGAGCGAGGGAGGGGGTCCCCCTGTAGGTAAATCCATGTAACTGCTGCTCCGTCTCCCCTTTCTCTAGGGACAGTGAGTATTTCCCCCGGGCCTCCAGCCCGGCCAGGGAGATGCTACCTGGTGAGACTGCGGAAAGTGAAGAAGGCTGGGCAGATTCAGACGAGAGGGAGGACGGTGCTGTGGAAGGTCTGAGACAACTCATCGCCCTGGCTTTTGTGAGAGAGAACGCTGGGCCGCAAAAGGAGCTCCAGAGTGCCCGCCAGCCAGGCAAGAAGAAGAGGAAGAAAAAGAGGTTAGGATTTAAAGATGGTAAATGGGGTCCGCGTGGGTGAGAACAGGCGGGATCCGGAGGGAACGGGGCCTTGACTGCTGAAGGGAGAGGACCGGAGAAGGAATGCAGAGACTGTGTGGGATTGTCCCAACCCCACCACTTCTGGGTCAGACAAACCGAATCCACCGTGGATGGTCTGTTTTATATAATGAGCATGTAAATGAAATTGACACCTTATCCTAATTCCACTCTGTGAGCATGTCTAGGATGCTTTTTTTTTTTTTTTTAGTGGATGGGGGAAGAGGATTTCTATGTTTTTTTTTGAGGATTTCTATGTTTTAAAGAAATGTTTTTTGTCCTGGGAATTTAGTACACTTGGAACATAATAGAATTGACTTAAGGATTTCTGTGTTTTAAAGAAATGTCTCTTGTCCTGGGAATTTAGTGCACTTGGAACATAGTAGAATTGACTTATTGGGATCTGCCCACACTTCTGCATTCCAGTTCTTGTGGAATGGTTTCCCATGCCTTCCTCTCCCCAGTGGAAAACAGATCAACGCTCGGACCGATGCCGGAGAGCTTGCCCTCCCTCAAACTCACAGCCTCCCTCAGTAGGAGGAGGAAGGGGCAGGAGACTATGAAGTATTTGGGTTCCAAAGATTTTCCGTTCATGTCCCTCATGGACCCCTGCAGTGAAGGGGCTCAGGGGTGATGATCCTAATATGGAGCTGTAAGCACCATTAGCTCTAGCTGCACTGCGGAATTTGGATCCGATTCTGGTTCATGAGAAAGGGACCATCAGAATAAAAAAAAAAAGAAAGGGACCATCAGACGGAGTGGGGCAAGGCTGGGGCTGGCCCACCAGGGTTGGATTCTCAGCTCCACCTCGGATGGACGCTTCATGCACGATCCCTGGGGCCGGCAAGCGTGTCTGTCTCTGTCTTGCTGCTCTCCTTCTTCTCTTTTCCAGATGATTGGTGATCAATCTATCCAACTGCCGGTATGAAAGCGGTGAGCATCTGCATTCAGGGGACCTCCGCGGGCCGTGGCCGATTCCCCAGAGGGTTGGCAAGGATCGTTTTCCTATTGTCTTGAGGGTGAAAAGGAGTAACCCTGAACCCCGGTCTTTGGTTCCCTCACCTTGACTAACTATGGAGGGTGTGCGGACTGGCTCTCCAAGAGCGGTGGGTTTGGACCACAGCGGTGTGGACTTCCGTAGTTAGCGTTCTTGTATACGATGGCTCGGGACCATGACTGCTGAAAAGGCAGCTATGGATTCCGTCAACGGCTCTGTTTCAGAGCACGGGTTACAAACTGGCAGACGGGGTTGAACGGAGCCTACGATTGATTTTCTGCTTCGGAGCCCGGTGGTGCTGGTGTTGGGTTTAATTTGAACTCCAACGCTTTCGGCTGGCCAGGCATTCTCCTGGTTACGCCTGCGGGCCAACTCCCTGCCAAGGTCCTTGAAGGCACTGGGGTTTGGGTGGGAGCCAACCCCAAGGTATTAATACAACAGGGACCAGGGAAGGATGTGCTAGCATATATATGGTTTCGAAAGGCGTCGTGTGATTTCTGTACGTCCTGTGCTGTAGCTCACTCTGGCTGATGTTAAGGGCTAGTTTGTATTCCTTGAATATTCAATGGCTGAGTCTTTGGAAGAAAGCCAGCAGCCTGCTTCCTGGTAAGGGGAAGCCAGGGTGGGTAAGGCATTCATGAGAGAGAGCTTTCTGTGGGAGCTTTGAGCAGAGGCTGTATTCGTCAATAGCTCTCTACTCTCTATGTTCCTTTGTTGGCCGTGGTGTGTGTCCAGTCAGGGGAGGATGGCCATCAGCTGCAGGGAGACCAGCTCTTGCACTTAAACACTTGGTCTGGAAGCACCTTCACATGGAGCCTCCCGGCCCCTGATCCCCTTCCACTTTCTGGGCTAACAGGCCTTTCTGCCTCCCAGTGCGCAGGGCTGCCCAGCAGTATGGCCTTCGAGAGGGAGGGGAGAATGAAGACTGGACACTCTGCTGGACGGACTTCTCAGTGTCGCTGGAGCGGGTTATGGAAATGAAAAGTTACCAGGTACCTGGTGTGACATCTGCCTAATGGGGCTGCCGGGGAGCCCCCCCCCTCCCCCTTGTTAATCATTGCACCCAGGGGAATGTGGATGCCCATGTCCCCTCATTGTTCATGAATTCTGCTTCCTTCACAGAAAATCAATCACTTCCCTGGAATGAGTGAAATCTGCCGCAAGGACTTACTGGCCAGGAATATGAGCCGGATGTTAAAGATGTTCCCTAAAGATTTCCACTTTTTTCCTAGGACCTGGTGTCTTCCCGCGGAGTGAGTGCTCGCGGGTGCCCCGGCTCCACTCCCCTTCCCAGGTTACATTTCCTTCTCGAGGCCACATCTCTGGCGGTCACTGTTCCCGCCCATATGTTCTCCTATCCCCCCCCCCCCTTCTGTTCTGGAAGGGAGACTCCGGGTGTGTCCAAGGTTGAGATAACACAAGGCCCTGCCTATAAAATGAGATGACACCGGCTAGGTGCCTGAAGTTAGGATGGGCATTTATTTGTTCTGACCCTGAAAGCTATTGATCATGTATTTGAAGGACAAGAGGGCTTCAAAGTGTCTGTGGAAAAGTGGAATTTAAAAACAGTTGGAATTTTCCCACAAACATTCGGAAACCTCCCTGTCTCATTGACTTGTCTCAACCCTCTCTCGAGGCATTTTTGAAATTTTAACACCCCTGGAGCAGAAGCGGTGCCTGGCCCTTCCCTTCGTCTGGTTTCTTCCATCTTGAAACCAGACATCTGATCCTGGCACAGCAAGTGCTCTGAACCACACAATGAAGACATAGGAGAAATGGAGATAACATGGACACGACCGGGATACACGCAGGCAGTGAGCAGGAGCAGGATTATTACAGTACAGTGAACCCTCGTTTATCGCGGTTAATCGGTTCTAGACCCTACCGTGATAAATGAAATTCCGCGAAGTAGGATTCCTTATTTGTAAATCAAATATTTTTGTAGTTAGAGCATAGAGGATATGAAAAAAACACCCTTTAGTCACCATTACACTCGTATTACCCAATTTATTAAACAAAAAAGGGATAATACAGTAAAACATTTTGGACGTTACAATTATCATTTATTATTTATTATATTATTTATGGCATCTAGTTTACAGTATTACATATTTCACATACAGTATTATTATACATAGTTCTTACAAATACTGTAATCAATAGCCTATGAAATGACTTAAGGGATGTACTCTACAGGTAGGTCGCCGTCTTTTTCCTCTGAAGGAGCGGGTGTAGGCAGTGGGTGCTATTATGCAAAAACCGCGATAGAGTGAAGCCGCGGAAGTCGAAGCGTGAAGTGGCGAGGGTTCACTGTATTATTGCATGACTGTTATTACAGGATTATATTTTCATGGCAAGGGCTCTAGAGGAACCCCACCATCCCCTTCCCATCCAGTGTTCCCTACCCAGGAGGCAGCAGGCCCACACGGAGTTTCCCTTTCCCAGCGTCTCTAACTTGTAGGAAAGGTGCTTGGCCAGCAGGGCAGCAGGAGCCCCCAGATTTCAAGGAGCACTGCAATCAAGTCCCTTCCCCAGTGGTCACCGGCTTCCTTTGAATTCACATGCAAAACACGCAGTAATTGCCAGAGTGAGATGGTGCAGTCTGTCGGTGGACTTGTTTAGTTCTTCTGAGCGTACGCAGGCCGTCTTCAGAGTGCCCTCACAGGTACACTGAAGTGCAGGTGTTACTGATGAACACCCGAATCCCAGAAGGAGCTTAGAGTCAGAACCACGGTCCTATGACTTGTGGGGTGTGAGCCAGATCTAAAGTTCACTGACCCAGATTGCTGCTCCCCCACACACGGGGTGCACAGGGCACGTGGGCGCTTTGCCCAAGTGAGGACAGAGGGGTCGCCCTGTGATAATGAGATTGGTGTCATGCTCCTCATCCTCGCTGCACACAGGACGAAATTGCCTCAGAGAGCTTAAGTCACTTGCCAAGGGACCGACAGCCAGTAAGGGACTTTGCCCGGATTGAAATAGGCACCTGGATGAATCCCCTCCAGTGTCTCCCCAGCTGCTAACTGGACCTTGGGTGTCCATCAGCACCCAGGCCTTTGTCACGAGGTAACCTTTCTTTGTTCCCTAAAGGTGTATTTCTTTTCCTCTCTGCTCTTGCAGCTGGGGAGATTTGCAGAATTACAGCAGGTCAAAAAAAAACAAGACCTACATTTGTAAGCCGGATTCGGGCTGCCAAGGGAGAGGTATATTCATCACGCGGAGGGTGAGAGAAATCAAGCCAGGGGAGGACATGATCTGTCAGCTCTATATTTCAAAGGTATGTCCTCATCGCAAGGATCCATCACCCCTGGCAACCTTAAGCTCTCGCTCCTCTGCGCACAATGTGAAATGGGGGGGAGGGTAGTGTTAAGAAGGGGGTGAGGCCAGTCTTCCACATTAGACCGTCAGGCCAATCTTCTGGAAGAAGGACACTGACGAGCTCCTGGGCCGAAACGGCCCCTAACTCTGGCAACGACTCCTACACCAGGGGTCAGTTGGTCTGTCCCTACCAGACCGGCCCCTTTCCTCTCAGAGGTGACAGCTGGGAGGACACCTTTAGTGTGTAGAGGCCCTGCCTGTTTGGGGGATGCGAGGAGTTCTGTGACTGGTTTTACTCCCTGGTCAGAGCACAGAGGCCAGCGCAGCATGAACGCACTGCAGGGTCGAAGCCCCCTAGGTGTGTGGAGGAAGAAGGACTGGCTCCCTGGAACAGGAACGGCCAGGAGACGGCGGGGCAGGGAGCAGTCCTGCAGGGCACAAGCAATAACATAGCCCTGGCTGGTGGCACCATGTTCTCTCTTCAAGGGACTTGTTTTGAAGTTACTTTATTTGGCTGTCGAGATGGCTCACTTGTGCCATCTGACAGATCCAACAACGGAGGGCAGTGCAGTTCGGTGAATTCTACAAAGTCATGTGTTGGGGCAGCACCCGGGTCGCCTTGTCCCCCTCTCGGCCTTTCCCACCCTGCACTTCATCCCACGAGACAAGGTTGGGTTGGACACCACGAAAGCGAGATGGGTGTTTCCGCTTCTCCTCTGACAGTGTGTGTCTTCTGCTTTCTCCTCCCAGCCCTTCATCATCGATGGGTTCAAGTTCGACCTGCGAATTTATGTGCTGCTGACGTCCTGTGATCCTCTCAGGATTTTTGTCTACAACGAAGGATTGGCCCGCTTCGCCACATCATCTTACTCCTACCCTTGCACGGACAACCTGGTGAGCCAAGAGAGCACGCCTCCGAGCCCCACACTCTTAGCAGGGTCAAAACTCCTGCTCACACCCGCGTGATCAAGGTGTCCCGGATACAGCTCTCACTGGTGGCACACTTAATACGGGCCAGGTTGCCGAAGCTCTCTTTTCAAGGAGCACTCCCAAACAGGGATTGTTACCCCCAGTTTGAGAAGGGGCGCATTAAGGCTCAGAGAATACAAGGGTCTTGTCAAAGTCATCCAGCTAGGAAAACGTGGGCCTGGGGCTCCCACACCAGCCCCATGATTCAGTGATGTCCGCAGAGAAAGACCCTCGGGGAAGCCCTCCCAGAGCTCTTGAAGCTACCTTCAGGCAGAGGGGGGAAAGCCAGCTGAAGCCAGCCTTTCTTCTGACCCTCCAGGCCATGAGGACTCCGCCCTGTCCTCTATTTTGCCAGTCCCGTAAGCCCGACTTGGCACCTTTCGTTTCTACCCCTGTAAGCCTCAGGTGCCGCGGGAGGGGGCAGAGAGGCAGCACAAGGCCTGCCTGACCTTCCTGACTGACCCCACAGGCTTGTCTCTCTTTTCCCCAGGATGACATCTGCATGCACCTGACTAACTACTCCATTAATAAGCACAGTTCAAACTTCGTTCAGGATTCTCACTCTGGCAGCAAGAGGTAAGGAAGCGGCTTCATTGTTCTTTCCTTTCCTTGCCAGCCTCTGAGCCGCCCCCTGGAATCCCTGTCAGCCCAGAGAGGTCTCCACCCTGGCGCTGAGGCGCTCAGGAAAATATTGCTTGGCTCCTAAGCCCAGATCAGACTCCTTCCTCTTTGTTTTCCGGGTTGTTAATCATTAAAAGAGGCCTCGTCGTAAACGTGGGAGGCTGGGGGAGGAGAGGTAAAGGGTACACACAGCACACCCGGACACACTCTGGCGACCTTGGAGCTTTTTCCTGTCAACAGATATTCACTGATCGCAGCCCATCAGGTGCGAGGACATGCCAGGCGGTCCTGGCTCCGGGCCTGGGGCTCCTGGGGCATCGCTCCCTTACAGATTCTCAAAGGCTGTGTCAGGATGTCCTAGTGTGGCAGACCTGTGACTGGCTGGCTTTTACGGTTGCTTCAAAAGGAGGAGGAAATTGGGGGCGGAGGGGAGCAGTTCACAAAAGTACCTTCCCCAAGGGGCTTTGGCATTCACCTTGCTTTGTCTCCCTCCGTTGGGTCTTAAGGAACGGAGACTGAAGCACCTGAGCATGGTCAGGGAAAAGGAGGAAGTCTTTATGGAGGACTTGTGTGCGTCGGGCTACCAACTGCAAAGTCAGCGGTTCCAAACCACCGCGGGAGAAACGCCCATCAAGAGTCTGGAACACGCATGGGGGCAGTTCCACCCTGTCCTACCGGGTCGTCCATGCGGGTCGGCCTCCACTCGCTGGCAGTGTGTCTGGGGTGTGTGTGGAAAGGCGCCGCGATGGTGGCGCGTGCACCTAGGTCCGCCTGCCACATTCTCTCAGCAGCACTCTGACGAGGCCTTGTGACTGTCACCTGGCTTTGGACATGGAATTGGAGTGTCACTTTGCAAGGTCGCACAGCCAGGAAGTGGTAGAGCTAGGATTTACGCCCAGGCGATCTCGCCCCTCGAGCCATCCCGCGGCGCTGGTCCCTCCAGAGCATTCTGTGAGGGTGCCTTGGGTGCGAGTCCTCATGCTCACGCCTCTGCTTTTGTTCACCAACAACCTAAAATGCCACCAAAGGCCCTTCTCCTGTCTCACGGAGGCGGGCCTGCGGGTGCTGCGGTGACTGAAGCATTGGGCTGTTAACCTCAAGGTGAGCGTCCGAGCCCATCAGCTGCTCCCCGGGAGAAAGAGGAGGCTGGGCACCCCTCAGGGGCACTTCTATTTCCTTCAGGTCGCCAGGCGCCAAAATGGACTCCGGGACAGTGGGTGTTTTTCCTCTTTCCGTGTTGGACTCACGAAGCTTCCGTGGGACCTGGTTCCAGGTTCTGGTCCGGTCACTTAAGTAAACACTGTAGTAGCGGTCAAACCTGACTTTCCTTGGGCCCTCGGCCTTCCTCATTATCCGACAAGAAGGCTAGGTTTCATCTCTTAGGACAAGCTGTGGAATTGAAGTATAACCACCCACGTGACCTCTCTGGCTCAAATCCCATCACCCTCAAGGGTCACATCCCCCATAATCCGGCACTGTTCTTTGCTTGTTTGCCTCGTGCTCCCCTCTGCACAGTGTGTCCCCTCGAGGCAGTGGGATGGTGTCCTGGGCCCTTGGGTGCTTCCCAGAAGTGGTGCCTTACAGAGTTCATCCTTTCTCTTCCTGTCCTCCTTCCTTTCTCCCGTTCTCTTCTCCCTCCGTCCCTTCTTTTGGGGAAGACTGAGACAATATGATTTCTGTACCAATTTCCTGCCCGCTCCAGACTTCCGGCCATAGCTGGAGGCCGTCTATGCCTCCAGCCAGTCCCTCCCACGTGGTGCTTTGGGCAAAGTGAAGGAAAAGACAGAAAAACCGAAAACCTGGCAGGACTCTGGAGTAGAGACCTGGTCAACAGCACTATCTTTTCACTTCCAAGGCCCAGCGGAGAACCTGGCACATGAGTGGCATGTGAAATTGAACTGCCTAACCACTGGGCATTATGAAATCACACAATCGCAGGTGTTCACTTTGATGAGCCTGAGTCACCATGGGAGGGTTATGGTATGTTTCATAACCTCTGTCACAAGGAGGCAGGGAAGTGTATAATCTATTTTAGGAAGATTTATTTCCCAATTAGGCAAATTAAATACATTTTTTTCCCTGCATTTGAAAAGATTAGCCTCAAGTGATCTGGAAAATCCATTTATGTGCCACACTCCATCTCCTGACAGAAGCAGGTAGAGCAGGTGGCCTCTGTAGTTGAGTGAGCTTCGGCTTTCTGCCTTTATGTAAATGCAGGTTCTCTAAGTAGCCTTGGGTTTCCCTTGACATTGATGGTGGTCCTTGGTGTCCATCCCTTCATCGCACAAAGCGATAAGTGAAGGGCAGGCACTTGGCAAAATGCTCACTGGCTGGTTGACCCTGCCTTCTCCCTTTTGACCCTGACCACTAGGGTCTAGAGCACTTTTTAAACCGCTGGCCCGAGTGATGCCTCTGCCCCTCAATCTCTTCTCTGCTTTCAGCCCCTTGCGTCTCCCTTCCACCATCCACTTACACTTCGTGTGCATCAGTGTGTGCACCGAAGGGTGAGGCCGTGTGCCCCTTGGATCGGCCAGGCTCGCCCTCTCTTTGTATTGCCTGGTTCAGAACTGATCAGAACATCCACTCAGATTTCCATACGGGAGAGACATCCTCTGTGACAGGTAACAACCATTTTGGTTTGTCTGGAACCGAAGAGTTTCCTGCAGTGTGGGACTCTCAATGTCAAAATCTGGGACAATCCCAGATGGCCTGAAACAGTTGGTCACCCCATCTGTGAGAGTCCCTGGCTGTCTTTCTCTTGGAGGTCACCCTCAAACAGTATCGGCGTTCCTTAATGGCTCCTCAAGTGATTTCTCTTTCTTTCTAAAATCATTTTATTGGGGGCCTCTTACCACAATCCATCCATCCATCCATCATCCATCGTGTCAAGCATATTTTTACATTTTTTGCCATCATCCTTTTCAAAACATTTTCTTTCTACTTGAGCCCTTGGTAACAGCTCCCCCCCCCACCTCATGAACCCTTGATCATTTATAAAGTATTATGGTTTTTTTCATGTCTTATACGGGTCGATGCCTCCCTTCACCCTCCTCGAGTGATGTCAAGGAGCCCCCGAAGGCTGAGAAACAGCTGCCCCCAAAGCAAAACCACGCGGGATGTTTGGTTGGTTGGTTTTCTCTCCGCTCACTGAGCTTTCCAGGCGGGAGGGAGGCCAGACGCCTGCTCCAGTCCTTGGGGGTTGAACGTGCCCCACTCCGTGTCTTGTATTATTATTGTGAATTAGGCGAGGGAGGTGGCCCAGCCACGTCTTATATGTCTTTACACACACATCTACTCCGGGGCTTAGGGGAGACTGGACGAATGTGGCCCTGTGACTCTTTCAGGCCCTCTCCTGTGCCAACAGCGTCCTGGGTATTCCTCTCGACTGGCTTTAGAGCAGTGGTTCTCCACCTTCCTCGTGCCGCGACCCTCGCATACAGTTCCTCACGGGGTGGTGACCCCCCAACATAACATTATTTCCGTTGCTACTTCATCACTGTCATTTTGTTCTGAATCGGGCCTCCTCTGTGAAAGGGTTGTTCGACAGCCCCCCCAAGGGGTCACGACCCACAGGTTGAGAACCGCTGCTTTAGCGGTTTCTCTCGTTTCAGGTTTCCAGAATGCCACGGCCTTAGCTGCTCAGAGGTCAGCGGCCCTGTCTGTGCTTCCCCTCCAGGAAACTCTCCACCTTCAACGTGCACATGGTGACCCAAGGCCACAACGTGGAGCAGATGTGGAGCGATATCGAGGACGTCATTATCAAGACCATCATCTCGGCCCACGCCACCATCAAGCACCACTACCACTCGTGCTTCCCCAACCACACGCTCAGCAGTGCCTGCTTTGAGATCCTGGGGTTCGACATTTTGCTGGACTGGAAGCTGAAGCCCTGGCTGCTGGAGGTAGAGCGGTCCGGGCAGAGGGTGGAAACTGGGGTCTTTCGGACTCACCTGACTGTGTTAATCCACTTCCTCCCAAGAGGCACCAGTGCCTGGGGCTTCTCGCTTAGTCAAAAAGTGGCCACCAGAGGGGGGTAGACGGCAGGGAATTCGAGCATCCCTTTTGTCCGACGTCCACGGAGAACTTAAGCACACAGTGATTCCGAAGACAGTTCTATCTTTCGTAAGAGCGGTTATCGCCCTCAAAGGAGGTGCGCTTCATCAAAACAGGATTGATTTCAGTGTTCCCTATAAGACAAGAGGTGCTAGGCCTGGTGGCCCTTTGGAGCCTGACCGACTCAGTTACAAGCACCAACAGAGAGAGGGGCCTGGAGCCTGCTGCCTTAGGAATGGGTGGGGGCAACCACTCGGCCCGTGCAGTAGGGAACGGAGAAGGGAAACATGCTTTCTGGGTGGCTGCCTCTTTTTCACAATTGAATTTATCTTGAAGAACTTTCTGAAGGCGGCCAATCAGAATGCGCCATGGGGCTCACAGGGTCCGAGGTGCAAGTGCCCGTCCAGTGCGTACCCCAGAGCCAAGAACACAACATGATAGAGCAGGTTCCTGGGCCTGGACCTTCTCCCATTCCCAACCCTGATTCCCAGCTGTGGGTGGAAAAGAGGCCATGGCTGGTTATACCTGTCGCGCTCCTTCAGATAGCAGATGGAGCCACCAGGAACAAATTTTCCCAGAACTGCTAGGGTTCTGCAAATATCACCCTGGACTGGGATTCTAACAGCGGCTGCTGAACGACGCGCACTTTCCTGTGGTCAGACAGTCGTCTGCTCCTCCTCCTTGACTCTCCCTCAAGGCTGGTCAGACTCCCGATCTCTCTCTCCTTTCTACTTCTACTCCCAAATCTGTCCCCGAGGGCTGCCCCGTCCTACCCTGCTCTCGAGAATGACAAGTGCATGTGTGGATAGAAGTACACCAGATGGAGGGGCGACCCCGTGCTTTTCAAGAAGAAAAGACGTAAATAAAAGCTTTCGAATCTAGAGGGAATGCGGCTTCCTCTTTTCCCACTGGGATTCCAGGCCAGAACCTTCTTCCACTCGCAGCCGCTCACCTTGGTAGGCCAGGGCCCCCCAGCGCAGGCTCTGGTACCACCCAGGAGGTGCCATGCCGCTCTGGACAGCCCAGCACCCAGCTATCTCCTCGCTCTCACAGGTCAACCACTCTCCAAGCTTCTCCACTGACTCCTGGTTGGACAAAGAGGTGAAGGACAGCCTGCTGTATGACACCTTGGTCCTGATCAACCTGGGAACCTGTGACAAGAAGAAAATCCTGGAGGAGGAGAGACAGCGGGGGCGGTTCCTCCAACAATGTCGTTCTCGGGAGACCAGGTGCAGGAGTGCCCCCCTCCCCCAGGGAACCCCACTCTATATAACTCCCCTGTTCCCGGTAAGACTGGGCCATCCTGGCTCAAGTTATAACGGGTGGCTGTTAGGACACTGCTCTGAGCCTATGTCCTCTCTGTGAAATGAAGCCAATAATAGGTAACACATCAGGTGGCTGGCGGGGGCGGTGTGTGTGTGTGTGTGTGGGGGGGGAATTCAATGCGATAATGCATAGAAAAAAGCTGACCAGAGTGCCCGGCATCATCGATCTTATTAGAAGCTATTAAGACTCTTGCTTGGAATCGCATAGAGGATCCTTTTTGGAAAACGAGCTTAGAGTTGTAGAATGTACCAGATCGAACAGTTTTACTCTGAGCACGCTTCTGTTTCCAAAACTTGGAGGCTGAGCGACAGACCGATAGAGATGTGTAATGGAAATTAATTTCCTCCTAGAAAGCCCTTCGAATTCCCAGTAAACCACTCCTTTGTTTTACTAAAAAGAAAGACCCATCTCTCCTCCTCCACATCGCTGTGTTGGCAGAAGCGAATGCCCCTCTAGCTCCTTGGGTGGTGCAAATGGCTTGCACCCAACCAACCTACTAATTGAGCGAACGGCCATTTGAATTCACCGCGAGGTATCGCGAAAGAAAGGCCTGACTGCCACAAGCATGGCAGCCACGGAAAAGCCTGGGAAGGACAGCTCTACACGGAAACATGGTGCCCAACAAGGGTTTAGTCTTTGGGCTTCACTGTCTCCCTCTACTTACTGGCCAGCGTGTTCCTCAGAAGAGGGGCCTCTGGAACCCCGGGACCCCCCACAGCCACCCACCTTCCTGGTGAGCAGATGCAGCCTGATCCTTTGGGATTGGGTGTCTGGCACAATGGCCATCGAGCTTGTGCCCTGGGATGGCACTGTGTCTTTGAGACTCAAGCCCTGGTGGTGTCGGTGGTTGAGCCCTGGGCTGCTAACCCAAAGGTGGGAGGTTCGAAACCACGAGCTGCATCGTGGCAGAAAGATGCGGTCATCTGTCCGTGCAGATCCATAGCCTTGGAAACCCCAGGGGAGAGTTCAAGTCTGTCCTCTTGGATTGCTGTGAGGCAGATTGACCTGATACCCTGGGCTTGGCTTTGGAGTTCTGACTGTCCCGGGAGCATTTCACACGCACTGCCCGTCCTTGTCAGGAAGGTGTTTGACGAGGGGGCAGAGGATCCTGTGCTTGAGGCTCGGGAGACCAGGACTCCACAGAGATAACTGAGCTGCCCAGTCACCTTGTTGGTGGATGGCAGGGCTGCCTGAGAGCTCAGTTGTCTGCCATGCTGTCCCGAAACGCCTTCCACAGGAAATAGAGTCATACGACAGCAGTGACCAGACACACCCCAGAGCCAGTGTCTTCATCAATTTGAGTGGCACTGAGGGCTCGAGCTCTCTCAGTGGCTCTTCATTTCTCTGCTGTGAAAGGGGACTTACCCCTCCCTACATGACCTTGATCTCCCCAGGGGGCTGTGAGAAGAATGAGATCAACACAGCTCCTAAAAACCCACCAAGCTCACCCAGCAAACAAACCACATCCACCGCCACCGACTTGATTCTGATTCATAGCAACCCTCTAGGACAGAGGAGGACTGTCCCCTAGGGGGTCCAAGGCCGTAGAGAGGGATGGAAGCAAGCCCCGTCAGCTCTGGGGAAGGTCCCTCATCTCTTCAGCTTCCGCTTCTGTTTCCTGGGTCTCTTTGCCCCTGACACCTCGTGGCCTGGGCCAGCCTTTGCCCTGGTCGAGTACAGATTACAAAGCTCTATAGCTCTACCAGTAAGTGGCCAGAGGCATCCTACTCTGTCAGGAAGGCGCTTGGTTCTCTTGCTTCCTGGGTCAGCAACGTTGTGGCTCTCACGTCTCCTGGTTCTCCGCTGCTGCTCCCCGTCTTACGGCTCTCCTCACTTCCCTCTGAGCCCTCACCAAAACTGTCTTTGGTGTCCATTTGCCCACCACGAGGCTCTTCAAGACAATCTGGTCTTTTAGTACGAGGCCCCACGAAGCGTTTGCGGCTTCTCCCCATTACTCAGTTCCCAAAAGGCATCCACCCTTTAGGTATGTCTTAGAGCAGAATCACACATGTAGTAACAAGTTATGTCTATCTCTGTAGTACTGCTCTACCTCAAGCGAATGGCTTGAACACACAGAAGTTGATTTTCTCTGTGTGGGAGGCTAGGGGTCTGAATTCAGAGTGCCTGCTGTAAGGGTAGGTTTTCTTTCTCTATCGGCTCTGAGGGAAGGTCTTTGTGCTTTCCTGGCTCATCAGCTTCTGTTTTCTGGTTGGTTCTTTAGCCCCTGGGACCTCCAAGGGCCTCTCGGACTGGCCCATCCTCTGCCCTGCTCAGGCAAATATTACAAAGCTCTATGGCTCCACGTGCCCCAAGATATCATCTACTCTTCATTAGTCCTTATGTCTTGGCCCAAAGGCATCCCGCTTTCTCTCTCTGGGCGTCAGCGAGCCTAGATCCATCAACAAGCACCCGGATGACCCCCGCTCTGCCAGGAAGCTTCCTGCCTGAAGGCTGGGAGAAAGGGTCTTTTAACCATCTCATAGAGTATTATGACCATGGCTGCCTCAGGAGAGCTAGAATCTTCTCTCTTTGAGGGATGCGGTCATGCTTTTATTTAATGTACAATGAGTGACCACTAATAAGTGCAAGGCCCCTGTCTGGCCTTAAATGGCATCCATCTTTGGCATGTTCCTTCCAAGTACCATAATCCCCAAGCTTTGTCCTGAAAACTAATTGTAGCCCTGTGTTCTGCTTCCCAACAGGATTGAGGAGGTCAAGGGTTTCCAGGCTGTGTGGTTAGAGAAAACCAAGAAACATGAGAAGGAAAATTGTGGAGGGTTCCGGCTGATTTATCCCAGTCTGCATTCGGAGAAGTATGACAAGTTCTTCCAGGACAACAACTCCCTCTTCCAGAATACCATTGCTTCCAGGGCTCGGGAGCTGTACACTCGGTAGGAAGGCCCCTGGGTCAGGTGGGTTGAGGTTGCCCTAGGGATTGATCTGCTTGGTCATGGGCCCAGGAGGACAGGGATCAAGAGGACCTCGGGCTCTGGGCTTACAAGGACCAAGAGATAGAAGATTCCCTCATGTGGGGTATTGTTAAGTAGTTGGGTAGCTCTTTCTAGAAACTCATCCTTGAGACAGGCAGAGTGAAGACATCCTTGCCACGCTCGCTCTGGGATGCCCCTCCTCTCGGAGGGACCTCATGGATTCATGGCTGTGTAACTTGTAAGAGTTGGAAGGAGTCACATGCCACCCAGTCCAGTCCCCTTCTGCCATGTAACTTCATGAAAGGCTAAGTCGGGAGAGCAGGGACCACACAAGAGGAAAGAGGGACTAGAGCATCGACCTTCTGACCCACAAGACGGTGCTGTTCCCCTGCTGTCCTGCTGCCTTTGTCCGCCTCCAGAAGCTACAGCCCTAAGAGGCCGTATGTGAAGGGGTCCTGCCCTTTGCTTCCTAGCTGACCCTTTTCCCTACACTTGGTGTGTTA